TGTTTAGTAGTGAGTTCCATAATTCTAGACAGGCAAGATTCTGGATATGAAGGTCACTCCAGGGCATTGCCTTGGAAGTTTCACGTGATGCTGGTGGTTGTTATTAAATCGTAAACAGTTTTTGAGTTAACCCCTGCCGACCCTCGATACGGTATTAAACAGTTTTTGAGTTAACCCCTGCAGACCCTCGATACGAGAACCAATCCGTCACCTCTGCAGAGTCCAGAGCGGAGGAAACATATTCTGCTGATGGTTCAGCGTAATGAGTTCAGGGCTCGAAATATTTTCGGGAATAGGTGCACTGGTGCACCCCACCTGAAAAATTGAATGCACAAAAAAATTTGGGGGTGCACTACATGTATATAGAATACCTAGAATGTCAACAAAAAGTAGTTATTTTCCTTTCTGAACAAAAGTACCATAATAATGATTTTATTCTTTTTCTGACACTTATATGTAAAGAATATGCTGTATACAACTATACATTTAACATCTTTACATATGTAAACCTACAAAAATATTTGGGTGTACTGGTGCACATGCACCCAGTATTTCCAGCCCAGATATGCATTAGATTTTATAGATTTTAATAGATACAGTAGCCTACTGTGTTGCAATTAAAATGCAAGTCTTGGCAAGTTTAGGCGATGTAGGTGCTGTCCTTGGTGCTGAAAGCTAAGTTACAATATATCTGTGCACACACACCCAGTATTTCCAGCCCTGGGAGTGTAGGACCCGTATTCCGGTGACGGCTTGGTGTAATGAGTTCTGCCTGCTGAGATATTACCTGCACAGATGGTCAGACCCGCGCGCCCCGGATATTTCATACCCCACTGGCATATAACTTACTCTGAGGGCTGCAGACAGGCGGAATACAAACTACATGACTGTACATCTCTCAAACTACATTTTGTACATGTATACATGCATGTTCCTCCTTAAGGCTGTGTAACTGGTATCCAGCACAATACAGCAAAATTTGTTCCAAAATGTTCTGTACCTGAATACTAAATATACACTTCCATAATGTTTTGACATATTTTTGACATAAAAACATAATTTATTATTCCTAAAATTTCTTACCTCAGTGGCGTATAACTTACTCTGAGTGCTGCAGACAGGCAGAATACAAACTAAATGTACATCTCGCAAACTGCATTTTGTATGTATGTTTCTCCCCAATGCTGTATAACCAGTATCCAGTACAATACAGCAAAATATGCTTCAAAATACTAGAACATCAATGTTCCAGTACTGTACCTGACTACTAGACGTACACTCAGGTTTACATGTATATTATATACTTATTTTGCTATTTCATACCTCAGCGGTGCAGACAGGGAGAATAAACTACATGTATGTATTCAGGCCTATCCCTAAAGGCTAAAGCTGTATAATCCAGCATAATACAGCATCATAAATCATGATAGGTACAGGTTTAAAATACCAGAACATCAATGCACTGGTGCTGTATCTGAATACTAAACATTACACTCAACTTCATAACGTTTTGACTTATTTTGTTGCTAAATATATATTATTCGTACTGTACAACAAAGATGAAAATTTAGCACTGGAAAAACTGTACAGGTGTTGAAAAAATCATCATCATCTTTAATTGGAGATCTTGGGTTCTCAGTATAAGATTCCTAAGTCTAAACAAACATTCTGTGTTCTGTTTCTTCACGTTTCTGTCATGATAAATTGATAAATTGAAGATCACCAGAATCCATCAGTCCCATTGGCATTGATTGAAAGTTCTCACAGAGCAGCAGACATTCATAGATTTTCTTCAACAAAGTCTCAAAGGGAAAGTAAAACTGAGCCCTCCTGACTTTCAACGATTTTCCTTGAAGACTTTATTTCAGTTATCACCGCATACCTCGAAGCTCCTTTCATGAAATAAGACAAGATGAATATCAGACAAGAAAATCAATTAAACATTTGACAGTCCAATGCATGCCGCATACCTGTGTAAACTTTCTTCGATAGATTTAAAAGAGGTACTTGGTGGAATTCCAGCTTCAAGTTCAGACAAGTCCAAATCTATAACTCAAATTGATTGAAAGTTCAATAGGAAAAAGTGAAGCTAAGACGTTTTGGGTTTTCCAGTTCCAATGATCTTTCTTGAGGTCATTGTCGAGTTTGTCTCAAATCCAAACTCAGATCTGTAACTCAGATTGATTGAAAGTTCTCAGCTGCAAGGAGTGAAAGTGAAGATGTCTTAGGTTTACGAGTTTCAACAATGTTCCCTGAGGTCATTGTCAAGTTTGTCTCAAGTCCAAACTGGGATCTATAACTTAGATTGATTGAGAGTGCTTTGCTGCAGGGAGAAAGTGAAGATGTCTTGGGTTTCCCAGTTCCTTGAGGGCATTGTCAAGTTTGTCTCAGTATCCCATTTATGGTCTTCCAAAAGATAAGAAGATGAGACATTGATGTGTCAATTCCAAAGATCTTCCCTAAGGTCATTGTCAAGATTCAATATCTCCTTCCATGAAATATGATCAGAAGATGAGGTCATTGTCAAGTTTGTCTCAAGTTCTTACAACCTGGGATCTGTATCTCAAATTGATTGAAAGTTCTCAGCTGCAAGGAGAAAGAGAAGATGTCTTGGGTTTGTCAGTTTCTTGAGGTCAAGATTGTCTGAGGATCTCCTTACATAAGATACAATCAGAAGATGAGACATTGGACAGGATACAAAACATCCATTGACCATGTGGCTGTCTTATGTGTGATGCATATGAACTTCACATATCTCTCAATTTAGCTTCCTCAAGGGTATGGCTGTATTTCTATAGTCTTTTCTCAGCTGAATGGCTATTTTTGCTTACTTTATTCATCAGGTGATGCAAAGATGATGGTTCGCCTGGATACAAAAAAAGCTATTTAACGTGTGAAGATGCATTGACCATGTGGCAGTCTTATGTACATGTATGATGCATATAAACTTCAAGTATCTCTTAATTAAGCTGGGTTTAAAGGTTGTTCTCAAGGGTATGGCTATATTTGCGTCCTCTTTTCATCAGATGACATGAAGAAATGATGGTTCACCCGGATACAAAAAAAGCCATTTAACGTCTGATAGCCCCACGCATGAACTGTGTGAACTCTTTTTGAAACCAGGTGAACTTGAAGAGATAGGAATCGCAGGTTCAGATGTGTGTGGAGAGGTGATAGGCACAGTTCATCGGTTCTGATCTCTAGCCTGTTGTCTGTTTATTGATCCAATCTGAATGCTGCAATCATAAAGAGACATCAAATTTTGTATAGTTTAGAGGAGGAGGGCCTAGTATAAGCATTCCATGCTTCTCCCCTCCTCCTGCACCTGTTTTATCCTTGTTTTGTATTATTATTGTCTGTTTTGTTAATGTGCAAACTAATAAAATCAAATGTACGTAAGGTCCTCCAGTATAAGGCATTATCTAAACTGTGCCTACCTGGGGGTGCTGCACTATACATGTAGATCTCTCAAACACAAGTTACTGTTTTTCAAAGTGGTGAATATACCATGTACATAACCCAGCAGCTAAATGTTGATGGAGGTTATATCATTACTGCCCAATTTCTGATCTGGACTCCTGTTGTCTGTTTATTGATCGAGTCTGAATGATGCAATCCTCCATCTGATGTGGAGAGATTCAGTTACCATGGTAACGTGATACAGAGGAGTTCCTCCTGCCATTTCTGTAAACTGGGTGAGATGTGCAGGGAATAAACTGCTTCACTTTGTTAACATGTACAAAATTTACAGGTCAGAACTGCGCAAGATGACCACTCAGGGGACAGATAAAATCTGGTCTATGTGGACAGGTGGTTACCATAGACAGGATTCTCAATGCTTGTGTCATTGGGAAAAAAATTGTATATTAGGGGACCACTGAAAAATGGTCACACTGGCCAGGTGTAGTGCTGTGTATCTAAACCCACATTTAGGTTCAGGTCCGGATTCAAGTCCAAAGGTTTAGGTTCAGTTCCGGACTCAAAAGTCCAGATCTAAACCCATGGCATATACAAAATTGCATGTTGGCAACCTTGCAATGATGTCTGGGTGAAACTGTGGCAACAATAACATGGAGGCCGACACTTGATGATGCCCGATGGCAATGTTTTCTTCATTTTGCAGCACATACATGTACAGTAATCTATGGAAGGTTTAACTTTTAGGTGGTTTGGATATATCCATGACCAGGTGGTCTACAGATCCCCCAAACACACAGATTTTCAAACTGTTGGATATCTGTATGTGTCCCCCAGTGGATGAATGTTAATAGAGGTTATATCATAACTGTTCAATTTCCTCCTATTCCCCACATATGCTTCCCAATTAATGCAGTAGTATAACATGGCCACGGTTGACTGGTGGCTGCTCGGTAGAGGAAACACATCAGAAAAGTTGTAATTGGAACATCGATCATAGTAAAGCTGGCCCAGCTGCACTTCGGTGATACAAAAGGAGCTTATGGCTCTTCTGATCCATAGAAAACCTGCTCTGTTCTCTCAATAACACTTTGTTTTCAGGTGTGGAAGGGCCGTGGGTCGTTTAGTCATTTATTGAAAGACTGTGAAAGACTTACATGTATATGGCCAGGGCTTCTGAACTAGCCAACGGCAAGCCATTTTGAGTTTTTTTTTTCCAATGTCTATTCTGTGTCTGCCTGTTATATCCAGAACTGTGCTTTATCCAGAACCTTGCTCAGGCACGGTTCTGGATAGTCTATGCGTATCCAGAACTGTTCATGGGGCAAATCTACGTTCTTGGATATGCGGAGACTATCCAGAACCGTGCCTGATCCTAACCCTAACCCCATTCAGGCATAGAACTAGATAGGCACAGTTCTTGATGATACGATGTACCCACAACTACATGTAAGTGTTTCAGGGAGCAAGCTCAGGCAATGGAGGAAGACGACAATCACTTGAGTGAGCCATGTTTTGGAAAAACAACTTTGTTGACATGTTTGTTTGTTTGTTTGTTGACATGTTTGTTTGTTTGTTTTTAGGTGATGACGGAGAAGAGAAGAATGAAGGAAGTTGCCATGGCACAACAGAGGCAGCAGGCCGACAGGATAGACACCCCCAAGGAACCAGGTGAGACTTTAACACACCTGAGATAACTTGATAACACACCTGTACACCTGCTAACACACCTGTATAGGACAGGATAGACACTACCAAGGAACCAGGTGAGACATCAACACCTTACACCTGGTTACACACCTGAACAGGTGAGACATGAACACAGCTGTACAGGACACACCTGAGATAACCTCACACACCTGTACTGTACAGGACAGGATAGACACCCCCAAGGAACCAGGTGAGACATGAACACCTTACACCTGGTAACAGGCCTGTACAAGACAGGTGAGACATGAACACACCTGTACAGTACAGGATAGACACGCCCAAGGAACCAGGTGAGACATGAACACCTGATAGTCTTACACCTGATCACACACCTGGACACCTTGTATTACGTAACTGTACAGGACAGGATAGACACGCCCAAGGAACCAGGTGAGAAACTAGCACACATTATACCTGATCACACACCTGTACAGGGCAGGTGAGGCATGGACACACCTGTACAGAATACACCTGAGATAGTCTTTCACCTACACATGTACACCTGGTAGTATCTTTACAGAACTAGATAGACACATGTCTGATGTATACATTATGTGTTTTGTAGGAATTTGTTGACCCTTGAACCTCTCTCCTGCATGATGACCACAATGAAAAGCGGCCTGTTGGCCGAATTGTGTATTTTCATCAATAAATAAAGGCGCAAACAAACAAACAAACACACAAAAGGAATCAGGTAAGACATACGCACCTGAAATATACTTACCTACACGTAGTATCACACCTGTACAGAACTAGTAACATACCTGTACACAGCACACCTGTACACAGCAAAGGAGCCATACAATGTAGGTGAGCCATTTTCTCACCTGTGACAGCTGTACACCTAGTCAAACACCTGCACATCCATGTACATTCATGTGTCCATGTCCACTTCGGTGTGAGGCCATCATCTAGTTGTTTTGGTTTGAAAGATTACTAGTCTCTGAGTAGAACTTGGTAGAAAAAGGTTGGAAAAGTGACTGTGGTTCATTGACATATGGGTCCAGCTACGTTGGTATGAGCTGTGCCCCCATGGATCTTCATTAGGCTGGTTTATTGATAGAAAAGATCCAGAGAAAACCATTAAAATCCAAGTTTCGCACAAGCACAGTACATTCTGCCGACGTGCGGATTACACTCTGCCCCATGGATCTTAGTTATGCCACGTTTATTGCTGCATCTGTTCCTGAGTAACTGTACACATGCATCAGACACACAGTCTTCTAAAACCATTAAAATCCAGGTTTCGTGAAGGCACAGTACATTCTGCCAATGTGCTATATAAGCTGTGCTTCCATATATATAGATCTTGGTTAGGCCGGTTTATTGCTGCATCTGTTCCTGAGGAACTACACATGCATCAGACACACAGTGGTCTGTCTTGGTTTGGCTTCCTATAAGACACAAATGAAGAAACACGGAGCTCGATAAAACTGACGGTGTTCAATCCTGGAGCAGACAGACATCGCAAACCAACATCTGTGGCCTAATGTTCAAGCCATGTCAAGTTATTGCATTGGTTCTGGGACATGTTAGCATAGAAATTTAGCACAAGAACACAGAGAAAACAGAGGGCTTGGAGCAAAACTTAAATCTGACCAATTTCCATCCCTGAAAACCAAATAAACCAATAAACTGGATAGTGAGTGAGTGAGTGAGTGAGTGAGTGAGTGAGTGAGTGAGTGAGTGAGTGAGTGAGTGAGTGAGTGAGTGAGTGAGTGAGTGAGTGAGTGAGCGAGTGTGAAACTCACTGTGTGTACCAATTAAGGTACAGACTTTCCCCTTAGACTCTGTTTTCACGTTGGTCTTCAAGTTAAGCATGACATCTGTGAACCACCAAATTGAATTTGTTCAGCCTTATATCTGATCACACACCCTCAGAGAGAGCTAAGCTCATGGATCGACAGTCTGTATGGATCTCACTCACACTCACTATCCTGGTATCTATCTGAGGAAAGATAAAAGAAAAGCCATCAGACATCCATATTGACTTCTGAGCCAATTGAATAACAGATTAAACATGCAGGGAGCTAAGCTCATGGATCCACAGTTTGTATAGATCTTACTCACACTCACTATTCAGGTATTTAGTATCTGATTCAGAAGAAAGATAAAAGGAAAGCCATCAGACATCCATATTGACTGCTGCTTGAGTGTTTCCATTGATTGTTACCAGATCAAACATGCAGGACAGCATGTGGGGTCTCTGGGTTAGTGTCAGGGGGAGGTACATGTAGGGTATTGGGAAAGTCTAGCTGCTGCACCATCAGATATTCCATGTGAATTCGAGGGGATTCATTCCTCAGCTAACCGACATCTCGCACACGCAGTCGTCCCTCAGTAAGACATCTGGAGCCGCATAGTTCCCGTTTAGAACTTTTATTCAGCCTGTCACACGACCGGTTTTGCCTGTGTGGCTTCTTCAAGTGTACAGGGGCTAAATGACACAAGTAACATAGAGTTCTAGAACAATAGAGAGGCCCTGCCACAGGCCAACCAAGGTCAGCGCACCTCCAACTGCATCAGATATTCCATGCACATTCTTGTTTCCTGATGTTGTGTATTACACTGCTGTCAATTCTGTGTCATGCACAAATTTTGCTGATGTCTCAACATTTTCTTTACCATTATCATGTTTTAGAAACTATGTGAACATACATGTACATGTAACTCTTAGTTTATTCATAGATGTTACATTATAATCAGCATGTTTTCTACTATTATAGATTATGTGCCCAGTAGTCTTCCAGCACTGCTAGTCACCAGTTTGATAGTATCACGTTTTTCTTGTGCGCATCACTCCACCAATATTTGTTTTGTTTTTCATTTCTTTCAGCTGTGCTAGAAGCAGGCAGTGAGAAAGGTTTGTTTTTTGTTACAATTGTTGCCACATTGTTGTGCTTTAGATTTGGATACATGCGAATATATTTATATTATAGCTGCACCATTTTTCATTTGACAAGCATCATGGCAGCGCCACATTGTCACACATCACAACATGGACTCAGTTTGTTTTGCTACAGTTCCATGAAATGTTACAATAGAAATTAAGTGAAAGTGGTACAAGGAGACAGATTAAGAAAAAGTAAAAGTGGGTACAATAAGGAGATAGAGATTAAGAGGAACGTGAGTTCCAAAGTGGTACAAGGAGACAGATTAAGAAAAAGTAAACTTTCTGTAAGGAGATGGAGATTAAGAGGAAATCGGAAGTGTTACAAGGAGACAGATTAAGAAAATTAAAGTAAAAGTGTCTATAATTAGGAAATAGAGATTAAGAGGAATGTGAATTCAAGTGTTACAGGGAGACAGATTAAGAAAGAATTAGTAAAAGTGTCTCTAATAAACAAATAGAGATTAAGAAGAATGTGAAAGGGTTACATTGAGACAGATTAAGAAAAGTGAAAGTTCCTGTAAGAAGAGACAAGTGAAAGTCGTAAGAAAATTCAAACTCTACTACTGGATCAGTTAACGGATTTATTTCCGGACGTTTCGAGTGACATCCATCACTCTTCTTCAGCGTCACAAATGAACAGAGAACCGATTCACTCTTACATACAAGTAACTAGAAAAACCGGTTAAACAACAAGGTCCGTAAGAAGCTTTATCATGTAAAAGAACGGTCCACTCAATGTACAGGAATTAGAACTAGAAAAACCTGTTCAACAACCGTAAAAGTCTTTGTCATGTAAGGAAGGTTCCTATGGTAAGAATTACCATAGGAAATGTTACTGTCCCTTGGGCTGTGGCAGGGCGGGATCCCAAGTGCTTGAGAGTTCTATGCGCAGTCCCCCCTTCCTGTTCAGGGTGGGGTTGTAGATGCGCTCCTATGGTAATTCTTACCATAGGAACCTTCCTTACATGACAAAGACTTTTACGGTTGTTGAACAGGTTTTTCTAGTTCTAATTCCTGTACATTGAGTGAACCGTTCTTTTACATGATAAAGCTTCTTACGGACCTTGTTGTTTAACCGTTTTTTCTAGTTACTTGTATATAAGAGTGAATCGGTTCTCTGTTCATTTGTGACGCTGAAGAAGAGTGATGGATGTCACTCGAAACGTCCGGAAATAAATCCGTTAACTGATCCAGTAGTAGAGTTTGAATTTTCTTACGAGTATCGTTTACCTGGATGTCTAACCTTCATCAACGTGACAAGTGAAAGTGTTTGTAAGGAAACAGATTAGCAGGAAAGTGGTCGTTACTGCTTGAGTAATGGCCCAGCTGATTGTGTTGGGCAGACAAATGCTTTACTCCTGTCCACAGTCTAAGTACTGGGAGATTGGTTTTACCGGGGCAGGCAGAGGTCAACTTGTTACTGTTGGGACATCAGATGTGTTCTGTGAGGAAGATTCTTCTGTTCTTGAAATTTACATAGAAGTCACCTCAAGTCTTGTTTTCCAATTAAATGTTAGTAAAAACAAAAAAAACTTCATCACATCAGGACTATTGAAACTGCATGCATTAACAGCAGTATTCCATGCCTTGCAGTTTCCAAGTTGAAGATGTCCAATTGGCATATTTTTCTATCATTCCTTTTGTCAAAATTTTCCCTCTGTGAAATTTCTACAGGGCTTACATCCTCCATTTTTAGTGTCCAAGTATCCATATTTTTCTGCCAATTCTGTTATAGCTAACAGCTCTCACATCTGCTGGGACGGTTTTTATGTCCCACAAACTTACATCTCCTAACAGATCTGTAATTTCCTGGATACAAGACAGCATCAAATTGGCAGGGAAGTATCTAATGTGTCACTGTTAAAGCTGGTGAAAAAAAAGATACCGGTACATAAAAGAATGCCTGATAAACTTGCATAAACCTCTTCTAGGAGAGTAGCATAAACCATTTTAAACCCCACAAACTCGTCTCCAGAGTTCATTGCCCCCAGAATCCGCCGTGTCAGCAGGAATATAAACTCCTGGGAACCTGACCTCTGACCCGGCGCCCCCTCCATCAGCTGCCTGGTTCCGATTACGGGAAATCGATGGCAATTTTCCCGGGAAGCCCAGATGGGCGCGGCGGGCGGAGTTATGGTTACCACGGTGATTGGGAGGCGAGGGCTCCCAGAAGACGCTACAAATTTTCATTACCGGCCGGAGCATTCGTGATTAGGCCACACTAGTTTGATTTGTTGGTTCTTGGGTTTGTCGGACAATATGAACTGTCAGGGGAAAAAAGCAGGCCTCGGCATCCTATGATAGCCCCATATTGCCCCAACATCTTAATTAAGTTCTTGGATTCTGGTTTTGAATCAACCCTAAAATGCTCATGTCTTACACGCTTTAGCAAGGCCACACCAATTTGATTTGTTGGTTCTCTATTTTGTCAGAAGAAAATATGGAAGCATCAGGGAGGATAAAAAGCAGGCCTAGACATCCTATAGCCCCAAATTCTATAATATGATAGGAGCCATAAAATCGACATATCAGACTGGTTTGTGATTCGAACAATGAATGTTAAACTTTTAGTCAAACCAATGCATTGATAGATGGAAAAATTGTAAGAACTAGGAAGACAAGCACAGTCCTTATTAACTGTTGTTGCCCAAGTTTCAGCATTTTGGAGTTGATTCAGAACCTAAAACTCTAACTATTTTTAAGAAAAGAATGAAGCATTCAAATTAAAGAACCAACAAATTTACTTGGCCTGGCCTTACTTACCTGAGTTGGACCATCCATCCTTACTAAGGCCTATAAGACAAGCTGCACATGTAATCAGCGGGTCTCAGCTTTTTACAGCTTGAGACAAGATTTTCGGCAGTAAGTCATTAGCAGCCAGAAATTTGCCGGAGCTTATAGATCCGTATCAGTTAAGTACAGGGAATGGATGTCTCCAATTATTGTGTACAGTTAAATCCCTCAATAGCCTTTTCATCTATAGTAACACATTAAGTAGGAATTGCTATTATAAGACCCATTTACATCCAAAACATAAGTGAACAAGAATATCTAAGATATCGTTATGATACCTCTGTGAAATTTTTCTCTGTGAATTTCTTATTTTTCTTATTATTGTGAATTTCCCGTCGATTTTGTCTTGGTTTTGTATTTTCCCTAAACTTTAGTCCAAGGTCTCTTATATGCAAAATACGGAGGAATTTTACCATTAGGTCCTTGAAAACAAAAGTGAACAAGAAATCATACCTCTGTGAAATATTTCAGTAAATTTCTTATCTTATTTGTTATTGTGAATTTCCTGTTGATTCTGTCATGTATTTCCCCAAACTTTAGTCCAAGGTCTCCTTTATGTATGGAGGAATTCAGCAACTACATTGAACTTGTAGATTCATACTGGGAACTTGCTGGGAAAATTAGATCTTTGAAAAACACCCCTATGTCATAACTCTATCTCTGCCAGGCTGCATGATTTAGCCTGTACTTCAGACATGACTCATGCACTTACATGTATTTTGTGTATTATTGTAAATTTCTCATTCATTCTGTCTTTGCTTTTTCCCTAAACTTGTGTCCAAGGTCTCTTTGATGCAAAATATAGAGGAATTTACTAGGTCCTTACTGGGAATATGCTGGAAAATTATTTGTATTATTGTATTTTAACTCCAGGAAGATTAGCTACATACTTGATTTTGTATGTCTTGTGTGTCGCTAATGGAGTTTAATAAAGCACATAAAGCACATAAAGCACATCCTTCAAAGCACCCCAGTGCCATAACTCAGTCTGCATGATTTAGCCTGTACTTCAGACATGACTCATGCACAGTTCCACGTCTCCCAGGCTCCAGTCTGTCTGTGTGACTCACCCAGGCGGCCATTTCTCTGTCTTAATGTTTTTTATGATAAATTTTATGCCGTTAAGTCACAGCTCTAGGACATACAAATGTAGGAGGAATTGGCTTTTCTCAATTACAAATGGCGGCCATTTCTGGGGAGCCTAAAGCTTTACATCTTACCTACGTAGAATTGCTTTCTATGGGAACAAGAATATATTCAGTAGAATCTGAAATTTCTGAGAAAAATTGTACTGTGATGACAGTATGAGTGCCGTACAATATGACCTGTTGTTCCATTCTTTGGGGGTATACCTGTACATGTAATTTATTGTTATCTTCCAGACAATTCAATTCACTCTTGTTATTAAGTGTTAGTAAAACTCTGTGAAATCTTCTACTCTTGTATTTTTCCAGTTGACTTCCCGACACCGAAGAATGAGGCCATTTCGTCTTTCCAGGTGCTTTATGTGGGCAGCACACCTGTGGCCAAGCCTTCAGGTGAGGAAACTTTCACTTTCTTTCACTTCAGGTATTGGTTGGGAAATACTCACCATTTAGGTCTGATCAGTCTGCTGATCCTTCTCAAGTTGAAATACAAGTTGTATCCAGTTGCATGCTCAGGCACAGTTCTGGATACCCTGCGTGTATCTAGAAAGTTAACGTGCCTGGGGCAAAATCTACGTTCCTGGAAAGACCCTGTCAAAAAGCTGTCCAAAACAGTGTGTGAAGTTCTGTGAACACCAAACCGTGCAGTTTGGGTGTTGCTGTCCTGTCCTTGGTGCTGAAGTTGGTGTGCAGTTGATAACATATCAGCCAGTTATAAGTGCCTGATCCTAACTCTAACCCATTCAGGCTTATTATACTACATCCCAAATGTGTTGAGTACCTGTCATTAAGCATATTATGGTCTCCCACCTTGTGAGGTCAAACACTATGGTCTCCCACCAATGTTATTAAGGTGTCCCACCAATGTTATCCCTCCCCTGTGCAGGTATCAAGGTGCTGAACGAAGCCATTGACTACGTCTCAAATATATTATTTCCTGCATATTAAGTACATGTCATTAAGCGTATTATAGTCTTCCACAGGTGTGAGGTCAAGCACCAATGTTATTAACATCTCTCACTATTGTTGCCCCCCCCTCCCCCCTGCAGGTATCAAGGTGCTGAACGAGGCGATTGACTACGTGTCCAGGAAGAACGAGGATGACTGGATCCCGGCCACCGTGGACGTGGCTCCTTCTGCTGTCACCGTCAAGAGCAAGGAGGTACGTAGGGGATTCAGCAGGGCAAGGCCAAGTTCAGTAGTCATTTTCTTAGTGTCTTAGTCCTATTGGTAAAGGTGTTAGTAAGCAGGCAAAAGGTACATGCTGTCACTGTCAAGAGCAAGGAGGTACGTACAGGATTCACATGGGCTAGAATGGGCTGGCCATGTCTCGAAGTAACAATTACTCCTACATTCATTGTATATGGCTTTGACTGTCAAGAGAAGGGCCGTGTTAATTACTTCTGGGCAAGGATGTATTGTTTTGGGTAGCACTGGTTTCAGTTTATGTGTTCGGGTGATTGAGTTCTGCAGTTGGAAAGATGATGTAAAAGTCAAGAAGACAAGTCACTAAGTTACTCAGTGTGTTTACACACTTGAAAATGCTACTTTGGCCTCCCAAAAAGCAACTTGAGTTACATGGGAGGTGACTCTGGGAGACTTGAGAAGCTGTTTACACAGGGAAAAGTTGTGAGTTCTGAGTCGTCTCTGCTGAGTGGACTGAAGAGTAGACTCCATCCAGGTTAACTCAGAAAAACTGTATGCAAAACATGCTTTTGTTCCGTTGCAGACGAGAGAACAGCTGACGGAGTGCAGAGTTCGCTTCCTGTCCTTCCTGGGGATCGGCAGGAACGCAAAGTAAGACATTACTCCAGCAAAGTAACTCTTGTGTGAGACCAAACTACTGATAACAACTTTCTTAAGGTCTGAAAATCACTTCCGTCTTAATGTAACATTTATTGATGAAGAAGACAGAATAATGTGCCTTGAAAGTACGTTGTGAACATCTTACATCAAACTACTGGTACTAGCTTTCTTAAGGTCTTTCTTAAGGTCTTTACAAGATCTTTAAATCTTTCTTGTAACATTTATTCTGTGAAGAAAACAGAACATAATGTGCCTTGAAACTACAGTGTCTTTCATATTTCTCATGAATTATTAAGTCAACTCTTAAACTACAGTGTTTCTCTTTCTTTTTTTAACGCTGTCTGTAACAGTTACTGTATTTTTTGTTGGCATGCATTCTTCAGCTATTGTACTTATCATTTGGCTAAGTAGATTCTTTGTTGTTTAAGTGGATTTTGTTGTGTGTTATTATAAACCAACGGCTTTATCTTGTACATAATTATATTACTGACGCTAAACTGTTTGTTTTACATGTCCTGACCTCAAGTGGAAAGTGAGTTCTCCCAGTTCCTAGTTTTTGAACCGTTGAACCTACATGGAGCTCATGTGCTAGCCTCCACCAGGCCTGGCTAAGGATATGGATAGTAAAGTTTGGCAACAATAGGGTGAATAATTGGCCAAACAGTAAGGCCACACCAATTTAATTTGTTGGTTCATGGATTCGTCCGCTTCGTTTTTTTTCTGATTTGCCAAAAAAAAAAGTACAAACCAGCCTGGTATGTTGACTTCATGGCTCCTATCATGCCATTTGGGGCTATCATAGGATGCCCAAGTCTGTTTTTATTTTTTTTTCACCCTGTCGATTCATATTTTTTCTGAAAAATCTGAGAACCAACAAATCAAATTGGTGTGGCCTAATGGTAACATTTTCTCTTGCATTGGAAAATGTTACGGTATGGTAGAAAAACTTCCCTGGCAAATGATTCTCCCTATTTGGCTAAATTTTACTATTTGTCAGCCGGTAGCTAGTCTGGTGGAGACTACACATGTGCCCATATGGGCTCTAGGGTGCACGTGGTTGTGGAACTAAAGAAATTAAAATTTCTCACTCTAACTTTTATTATTTCACACAAATGTCTGAGTACCCAGTGCTTGAAGTCTGGTACATGTACATGTAAGCTACAGAAAACCAACTCCGTTCTGTCTTCATTATTTTCGACTTTCTTTTTACAATCCGCACCACCGGCTTGTGTATGCACTTTTGTGAAAAAAAAACAGAAAGCAAAACTTTTGTAGTGTGTTTGCTACTTTTATGTTAAGTTATTATATTTAAAGATAAGATAATTTGCAGCTTTTGTATCAAAATGTGATATGTAAATGTTAATTTGGTGTAAACAATTGTTGAAGACGATTTTTATCAGTGTCCTTATCTCATAATACCATTGATACTTGCTTGTTTTTCTGGTGTGTACTCTAAGACAGCCACATTGAAAAACAACAGTGAATGTAAAGACATTTACAGTTATAAATACAGCATCAGTTCAAAGTCTATCCAGGTGCTTGAGTAACTGTTTTCCTGTGTACCTGCTAATGTGGCAGTCATAGGGTAGACTTCTGATGAGAGTTGACATTTTGCGTTGATATTTACATGTTTGTCGTGTGTTGTTCCCAGGATGTTTGGTTACATCCATGCCCTGAGCGCTACTAAGTTCGAGGCTCACGTGTTCCACTGTGAGCCGACGGCCGCCGCGCTGTCCAAGGCAGTGGAAGGAGCCTGCCAGGTTTGTTTGTTTATTTGTTTGTTTGTGTGGGTGTTTCACTGTGAGCCAACAGCCGCCGCGCTGTCCAAGGCAGTGGAAGGAGCCTGCCAGGTTTGTTTGTTTGTTTGTTTGTTTGTTAATAAAGGGGGCGTAGAAGTGCCTAGGTGGTATGGCAATGTGTCACAGTCTTTGGACCAGCCAAAACTATCATGCCAAACCAGCATGTCTATGATGATAGTTTGTATTGTACACATTAGGGTCACAAGACACCTGATGTACACAGGCATGTTGATGCATGTGATGTGAGGAACGATGGTTCACGTTTCATCTGAGGCATGAACGGTGATATAACTAAACCCACATATGTTACTATACTAAAGACTTGCCACTTTGTGTGGTAGAATAATTCAAACAAGTGACAGCACTCCTCATTTGAGGCACATGTAATGTACATCAAACCATAGATAACATTTTTAAATGTAACCTTTTGTAAAAGAATGCCACAAAAGATTCAGTTTTCCTTGTTTTGTCAAAAACACAACTCAATGAAGGACCTAGTAAGAGAAGACCTGTAAACTACATGTCTACTCACGTCTTCTTTTTGCCCCCCTCGCCACTACCCCCCTCTTTGTACCCCCTCCTTTAACCCCCCCCCTTGCAGCTGAGGTATCAGAAAGTCATCGACGCTCGGCCAGAGATTCTGAAGTCCAGTAAGCCACAAGCTCCGGCAGAAAACAAGGTACGCACGATAAACAAACAAACAAACAAAACAGCTGTATAGATTTGAACTCTGATTTCTAAACACAAGATTTGGACTTACCCAAATTTCCTACTGACCAACACCAGTCTTTGTTAAGGAATGAGCAATTACTTTTTCTGTGACATCATATAAAAGTAAAATACCTGTATTGGTCAAACAGTCAGTGAAGATATTGTATGTTTGTACAGTTTCTGTAGCTCTATCTTGAAAGGTTACAAATATTTCTGTCTCAATTTTCTTGATAGTATTTTCTTTGTAAGTCATGTAGCTTACTTACATTGGAAACATAAGTCAGGGGTAGCATAGTATTAAGAAAGGAGCTTACAAAGAATATACATGGATAAACTTCAAAAGAGGAAAAATTCCTGTGACTGGATTTACTGGTAACTGTTGTATCTTAGCAATGAAAATGTACGTCATGTTAACATCACAAAAAAATATATCGATTCCATGAAAATTAAGCTTACATCTCATGCCAGTGTTTGTCACCAGTACATGTAGCTTTAATTGTTGAGATTTCCTGAAAAAATGCCTGCTGCAAGGATAGGTCTAGAAACATGACATTACATGTAGGTCTCAACATCTGAACTGGTCCATTGAAATATCACACACAACGTTTAATGTGTGTGCTGCTGTGCTGTGTTGTGCTGTGTTGTGTTTTGTTTTTCTTTCTTTGTCCATGCTTCTTTTCTTTGTGGTTTGTTGCAGTGTGTTTCATTGCTTTCAAAGCTATGATAATCACAGTTGTTTATGCTGTAACAGTAATTATTGCAGTTGGGAATATAAAAGGCCTTCCTTAAGCAGTTGTACTAGTGTAAAACAAGTGCCACAGCTTGCTGCTTTGCTAAAGCTTGGGATGTCAAATTGAGAACCTTTGTGTACTGTATATTTTAGTACCTACTTTGCACATTTTGTTCTGCAGTGTTCATACGCTACAGTTTGCAAGAAAACCCAGGAATGCTTCGCCCACGAAGCTTTGCCAAAAAGTGTTTACATTCAGACTCTATATGTGGGCATCCACAAGTTGAAAGCCCTGTGTGTAACACCCCCTTTCCACTATTAAAAGATTTGACAAATTTTGTAGACAAAGAATAATTATTTTACGTACTGTGTTTTTTGTTGCCTTTTAAATCATACCTTTGCATCTTGCATCTCATCCCAATTATGAAATCAAGGGCACACGAATTGGATGATGGTTCCTTAGCAACGGTTGCTTAGCGACCAGTGGAAAGGGGTCAGATGTTAGATCTATCCTTGCCAGCGGCCATGTTGCTTTGTGTGACGTCTGACATGTCCTTTGCTCATACTTTGCTTACTGCTCGCCATAGCGAACAAAGTAGCACGGTAAGTGGCTTCTAGCATTGTGCTCGCAGCCTACAGTCAAATCTGCCTAAGAAGACCACTCATGTAACATAAATGTATAAGAGTATACAGTCAAACCTGCCCAAGAGGATCACTCATGTTAACATAAATGTGTATGAGCATACAGTCAAATTTGCCCAAGAAGACCACCTTGGGGACCAATAAATTTAGTTCTGCTCGACAGGATTGTTAATGCCAAGTCTTGTAAAGATTATCTAAGGGACCACTTGAAAGTGATGTGGCTTGGGTAAAACCGGCAAGTTTTGTGTATGTTTTTCTCTTGTACATTATTGTTATACATGTACATGTATGTAATGTATGTATCTCTATGTGTACATTGTAGTTGTGTAAAACAGTACGGTAATACCACGTCACTATAATGGGCCAACCTGGGTGAATAAAACAGACATAGATGTTCATTGGCAATAGATAAATTCCTTGAACATTGTTACAGCCACAGTGTCACACTGACTTCTACCAGCATGGATATACCAGTGACACAACACTTAGTGAAACGTTAAGAAGTATGCATAGGTAACTTTAGATCCAACACAAGCAAGTTCTCTGACCTAGAGCTTTCGACCAGTCACTCTGGTCCTCCTCAGTAGACTGACCCAGTGAGGCTTGTCACATGGCTTCTTTGAAGTCTGATGGTACAAGGTATCTGGTAGACGATGTCTGCCCCCGTCACGGTTGAGTGTGTTGGATCAAAAGTTTTCACTCTAAACATGTAACTTAGCCTGGGTGCCATCCCCAATAGTATTTGCACGCTCTATAATGTCGCTAGCTACCACTGCCAGTTGTAAGCTAGCGGGCGAATACTACTGGGGATGGCACCCAGGCTACCTGTAACTACCAACACAGATGAATCTTCATGGTATGTAGACTAATTTCTTTCCGTCCTGTATCCCCCATGTGTCTGCAGAGGTGGTCGTCGGTGAAGTCGGGTTTCCAGAACATGCTGGGTCTGCGCAGGAACAGCAGGGTCAGACAGCAGCCTCCGGACGAGCCACCGACTCAACAATAGTCTCCAACCCAGGCTCAGCACAGGCCTGGAGGACTGTAGTGTACATAATAGTCAATCTATCATGCAATGTTGAATGTGGGAGCCTGAAATGGGCTTCCTTCTGGCTGTAGAGTCTCCAAAGTTATACACCAGAACAGGCCAACCTACACCAAAGTCTGCAGAATTATAAGTTCAGGTGGAGGTTTTCGAGAACTTACATGTAGTTCTCACCATAAAATTAGCATAGGGTATATTTTAATACTTAGTCTAGTTCTTCTTGTTAACCTTTTTATTAACCTACTTATTAATAACCATTTTGTTGACATGGAGTCTTTTACTGTAAGATTTTTTTAATGAGCTTAGAAGTTTATACTTAAGGTATTCTCTTAGCATTCAAGAGTTATTTTTCCTTAGTTTTCATGATAGAAACTCGATCTTAGCACTGAAACATTTAGTGGATGTGGAAAAGCAAAATCGCACTTCTTTCAGGTTGTCATGGCAGCAGCAGGAATTTGCTGTTTTGCTGAGTCGCTCTGGTTAATGCAAATGTACCTGAGGCCAGCCCAATTTATTTCCTTGGTTCTCAGACGTTTTCAGTAAAGATTTTGCAAGATGAAAACAGAAGGTTGAGAGGAAAACTTGAATCTGACTACTGGAGTTCGCTCCATGAAACTCTGTGTACCAAGGTATCCATATATTTAAAGTTAAAACTTTAGGTGCAACACAAAGTTCTCTGAACTAGAGCTTCGACCAGTCCCTCTGGTCTTCCTCAGTAGACTGACCCAGTGAGGCTTGTCACACGGCTTTTTTGAAGTGTGACGCCAACACTGGGTCAAAGGTATCAGATGTTCCCCTCACTCTGTTTTCATGTTTAATTTCTGGTCCAGCATAATTTTTTTTATAAAGTCTAGCAAGAACCGACGAACTAAATTGGACTGGCCCAACTGAACATTGTGAATTCTGTCTTGTCAACATATCATAAAGCGGTGCCTGTATCTACGCAATTAGGGAAGCCTCGGAGGGGAGTTTTGTGAACAGAGGGAAGAAATGAATCAGTGAGGGAGGTTTTTTCCGCAGGGGTAACATGGAGGTCCTGTCTGCAGTGTTCTGTTGTTTATCAGAATGAATCGGTGTCAGAATCAATGAATTATTATAGACACCCAAATTGTACATATAAAATTCAATGAATGAATTATCAGGCTCTGTGGCCTTGATGATGATGATGATAATGAGGACCGTCGAGCGTCCCGAAATACAAGCGTCGTCTTCGGTAGATGTAGTAGCAGTTTCCGCACAATGTCGTGAAGTGTTCTCGCCGTCACAAAGTGGATTTTGTCCTGGGAAATTCCAGGACTTGCCTACTACTATTAAACAGCTCTCGTGTATAAAATAAGCTGTAAAATCAGACGGTGGATGTTGTTAGCCAATCAGCAATGAGTACCGCCTTCTTAAGAGCCGTGATTGGCCAGGAGGTGGACTATTTTCATTGGCTGAGACATGGGTGGCTCTGATTGGCCACCGCAGTGATATCATGATGCCAAGATGTGTTTTGATTGGCTGAAACAATAGAGGGTCTGATTGGCCACAATAATGATGATGTCACAATGCCAAGACGAGTTTTCATTGGCCAAGACATGAGGAGTCCTAAATAGCCACAGGGACGACATCGCAATGCCAAGATGCAACAATAAGAGGAGACATTGAAGAAATTGTACAGAATGTTGTAATTGTTTCAAAGTGTTACAACTTTCCCGCTAGTAGCGAATCCACAGTGTTACAGTGCAGTAGTGAAATCACTACGTTTACTTTCACAAGCGATGTTGTAGATAGATAACCAGGAGCTAAAACTAAAACTTTTTTTACTCGAACCTTTGTTTTTTGAAGTCTGTATACCAAAGGTGGTAGGGTCTTGTAAGGGTTCCTGAGAAATATTTTTGTTATATGCAATATATGCAAGACTAGTTTTAGTTTATTACATGGTATTTTATATGGGTTTTATTTAAGTTTTGGTGCAATTTATGGAGGATGGTCAAACATAGGAGGGAGAAAGCCATACTTATGCGTATTTTAGGAATAACATAATATTAACATTTATTTTACTCATATTTATCTCACTAACTTATGACCTAACTAGTTAGTTTTGATAGTTAAGCTTTCTTGTTTCTTACTGAGAAGTTACCGGGAGACAGGTATGGAAAATGGAAGTTGTGGAATTCTTACGTTTCTTTTTGAGATCTAGAAATTTTGCCAGCCAAATTGTACTTTTAACTGGGGAATTAAAATGGTAAAAAATAAATGGTGGGAATTTAATTTGAGCTGGCCTAATGTATCCGATATAGAGGTATATTTGTGAATACAAAAAAATTATGAGAATGAGAAATAGCTTAGATCGAAGAATTTTGCAATGTAAAAGTAGCAAATATTTCTGAATAACCCTGTCCAGCCTTCCTAGATGTAGTGTAGTACCTGTAAGCGATAGATAACTTTTATTTTCAAACATTTTTTTTGGTGGTGTCCGGGTGTTCTGACCCGAAAAATGTACGCAATCCAACGGTATCGAAACTACGGACAGGTAAACCTTAAGTTGGCTGGAGAGGACGGTTGTTGAGTTTTTAGCGTAGAGTACAGAGTTGTTAGATTTAGTCTGCTGCAGTGGTATGAACTATGTAAGTGTCGACATTGCCAGAATCTCTCATGTACATCAACGATCTACAGTAGACAAGGCCAAACTTTGATGTTTCAGAACTGCCGCCTGTCAGCGTTGTTAGATGGGTTCGAGTTTTGGTGGTGTATAAACATTCAGAAGGGTTCAGAACATGTTGAAAAATGTTCTTGTACATGTAAGTTACATTGATGAAGGTTTGACATCCAGGTAATGAAATACACAAGAACGTATTTACTCCAGCAACTGGATAGATTTTGAAAACCGCCTCATGACAGTTTAAAATTGACAGTTTTCAAAATTTATCCACTTTCTTGAGTACCTGCTTTCTTGTGCAAGTATTTGTGTAAAAGGGTCTTGGTGGTGAAGACAGTAAGACATTCTCAATTCCCGTTTAACAACGTTGACAGGCAGTCACTGTTGTATCCAGAACCGTGCTTTATCCAGAACTATGCGCAGGTACAGTTCTAGATAGTCCACGCATATCCAGAACCTTGCCTGGGGCAAATCTACGTTCATGGATACACGCAGAGACTATCCAGAACCGTGTCTGATCCTAACCCTAACCCATTCAGACACAGAACTAGGTAGGTGCGGTTCTGGATAGTTCATGCATATCCAGAACCGTGCCTGGGGCAAATCTACTTTCTTGGATATGCAGAGACTATCCAGATCCGTGCCTGATCCTGACCCTGATACATTCAAAGAACTAGACAGGCACGGTTCTGGATACCATAGCCGCCTCACAATACAGTACTGTATTCCGCCACTCCAGTGTTCCTCTGTGATTGGGTAAAAAATGCAAATTGCATGACTTCTGTCTTCAGCTAGCCGTGACAGAAAAATCTCTCGATCAGTGGTTCGGAGCCCGAGGCTTCGGCCCTGCACACAGCAGACCTAGTGTTGTACCACGCTGCAAAATAGTACAGAATAAAACTGAACTGGACTAACTCTATGTCTGGCTGTGTTTGTGTGTGTTGGTTGATCTCCATGTGTGCTAGTAGACCTGAGTGGGCAGGCAATGGTCCCAGCATGCAGCGCCAAGGAAATCCAGGAAATCTTACGTACATAATATTGTAACCTATTATTGAACAGTCAATAGAATAAAAACACATAAGTCACAAGAAAAGTATGCAAAGAGTTTCTTTATTGAACAGCACATTGCTAAGTTCTGGCACCTGATGACCTGTAAATTTTGAATTGCCCAAAACATTATGTTCACAGTCATAGTGATATCTACATATAGTCTCAAGCCTGTGCTAGGGACAACAGCATGAGGCCCACTTGGCTACTGTGGACAGGTGAAAACCTTTTTGTGTGGTCCCTTAGATTATTTCCCAACAACCGTCTATAGTGGATCTATGGGTACTTCTAGTCCACTGAGTGGCTCTGTTATACAATACATGTACTAGAAATATGTGCTGCTGTATTGAGAATACAATGTACATCAAAATCAATTTAAACGTACAAAACTCTAACCCGACAGTGTTAAACTAGTTACATGTTCAGTAACAATAACGTAACAATCAGTTATTATGAAAAGTTTTTTCTACAACAACAGAACTTCTGTGGACAAACTTGACCTGAACTTTCCACGGCTAGTAATTAACAACTTTGGCAAACCTGCAGAATTGATCTGTTACACTTTTACAGACATACACAGCTTCAGAAACTAAAACTGTTTTCACATACAGAAAGATGCTTGGCTCATACAACTTAGCTCTTTCACCAATGGCACACCTATATATCCAGTACTATGGCGTCTTGATATGACATTGTAACACATCTGAACAACAGATTAGAAACTCTCAATGTGCTCCATGTCCTGGCCTGAACTAGTCTAGTTCTTTCCCTTGCCTTCCCTGCTGTTAGCTGGAGGCTTCCTGTGATGCAGAGGAGCAGAGCTGCCCTCCAGGGCTGGTGAGGATGTGGAGGAGGAGGAGGCTGGTTTTGCCTGAGGAGGAGCGGTCCAGAACAGGGCATTGCTGTGATGCTGGGGCTTTCACCAACCAACCAACAGGAGACAACAGGGACAAAAACAGTGCACATGCAGAACATGGCATGGAGGATCTCAGGCCATATCAAGTCAGTTCCTTGGTTCTTACACTTTTTGTTTCTTGAGAAATCAACATTTTTTAAGGCCTAAAGATGACAAGATAAAAGCATAGGAGTTTGAAGGAAACTTGGATCTTGCTGATTCACCTTGGCACAAACTTAGGCTCCTTTTTTGTGTTGACCTTTCAGATCGGCATTGTCTAGTTTGAACCAAAGAACTAACTTGGCCTGACCCTCCAACCTGTTGTAGTCAGTGGACACACAACACATATGAACAACATGTGTGTGAACAAACTAATGTGTTAACAGTGTTAAAATCACAGTGAAAAACAAGTGGTTTCACTGTAGGTTATTTGGTGTGGTCTAACACATTGTTACACATTGAGCAAGTTTCCCCAGGATTTGTTATAAACATTTGACAGGCAGTTCCTGGCATGGGGACTTGCTTGGTATAGATACAAACAGTGTCTGAATCTACTGCTTCCACAGCACACACGGTTTAACATTTAGATACAAACATATTGAGTCTGAATCTATCAAAACATGAGCCAGTAGTGTGTAAAATAACAGTTTTTGTCAGCAGTGTAACAGCACACACTGTTCAACAAGTGGAATAAATAACAGATAGAACATTGTGAAACATGGTGTTAACAAATCTACTGAGACATGCTTGACTGAGTAAAACAACCAGATACTTGTGTTATCATTATGTGTTCCAACATCACACTTTGGTCAATGTGGTAGAATATCAAATATAAAAGTAATAGATGCACAACTCTCTGACATTGAGTGAACTGCTGAGTTTTTACTGAATTGACAGAAGATTCGTGGCAAACATTGTACTTGGAAATTGGAACAGTGAGGACTTATCCATAGTTGAACATGGTAGTTACACACTGTGTGTGTGAAAAACATACGGCACAGTGGACGGATAGTTCACGTCTGTACTCAGGGTAGGGGAATGTAGGTCTATCAAAACTATCATAAAATACACTTTTTAAAAAGAATTTATTATTACATGCATACATTTTTTGTTAAAATATTCCTCTATACATTGTGTTGTACGTATTGACAGTTTCCTTAAGTTTACACAATGCTAAAT